GTTTATATAAAGTGAGCAAACTTTTAAAAATAATATTACTTTTTTCACACAATAAATTTACGTTATGCTCATACTTTGGATCAGACGTTTGGCCTCCATGATAAAATATGATTTATCATCGTAATTTTTAGAAGAAAATTTACATTTTAATTCCATCTTGAAGATTACTTCCCCTCCTGGGTGGAATAAAACATCAATAAAATATATTTATTATAAAACATTGAATGTTGCTCAGGGAGTCACCTGCTGTTTTTTTTTTTTAACTCATGATATATGGAACAAATCAGGATATACATTTTTTAGGAATAAATACTTTTTCTTTGATATCAGAGGGATTTAAAAAGATGAGCATGAGTAATTTATAGTAAATTATGATATATGTAAAATCACTTTCATCCTCCTCATGTCCTTTAGTCCTAGGACCGTTGGGGCGCCACAGATGACATGTGAACCATCCTACTCCATTCTTCTCTGTCTTCAGCACTACGCACTGCATCGCCCAGTGTTAGTCCTGTCCACTCTTTGATGTTATCCTCCCACCTTTTCCTTTGTCTTCCTGTTCTTCTCCCTCCTCTTGTAGTGCCCTGCAATATTTCTTTGGCAAGCCCTTGTTTCCTTGTTACGTGACCGTACCATTGTAATTTGCGTTTTTTCACAGTCACCAGTAGGTCATCGTACTCCCCGATTGCCTGACGCACCCTTTCTTTCACAGTATCTTTGGAGATATGGTCCCTATAGCAGATGCCAAAAATGCTTCTGAAGCATCTCATCTCCATCGCCTTTATTTTCCTTTCAAGATCGGCTGTTAATGTCCAGGATTCGCAGGCATACAGGAAAATGGAGATGACTAATGAGCGCATCAGCCTGATTTTGGTGCTGGCGGCTATATTTTTGTCATTCCATATTTTCTTGAACTTTTTTAGGGCTGTTGTAGTCTGCGCAATCCTGGACATCAGTTCGGGCTTGGAGCCTTCTTCTGAGACTATTGCTCCTAGGTATTTGAAGTGGCCGACAGTCTCTAATCTTTCCTCCCCGACCTTAATTTCAGTGGTAATGCCTGCGGTATTATTTTTCAACAGTTTTGTCTTTTTGGCACTGATAGGCATGTCACTTTGTCTTATGCTAAAAAATGAAACTTTCAGAGCTTTCACCGGCTACCTAATATCAATTCTGGTTATTTTTGGCTATCCTATCTATTTTAATGATAATATGATTATTATTAACCTACGTTGCACCACATATTATGGTCACATAATCTAATAATCTTAATTATCTAAATTTTCAATAAACTTAATACTTTTCTAAGAATAATTAAAAATTAACATAGACACTGTTGGCATACAACAGACTGCATTATTACCATGCATAGAAATGTTGGAAATCCAAAAGAATAATAAATTAACATTAGTTTGTAGAGTTGGCACCTCGACGCACCAAGTGCACAAGTTCCTTTTACTTCTCTCACTGACCTATCATTTATTTTAAATTCTTGAAGGTAATTTATCTGGATATACAGAGTCAATGCAGATTAAATTGGTAATTAGACATTTCTTATTGGGAACGAGGAGAAGACTACTCTCATCATTTAATTTTGTATTACCCAATTGTAATTATTAAATTTGGTGGATGAATAAATTCATTTTAAAAATCATAAATTTATAATGAATACTCATACACTTAAGATGTAAACGTTTTATAAGTACGTTATATTATATAGTCAAAATAAATGTATTGAAAAATAAATTAACATCCAATTTTGGATATATTTAAATTATTGATAATTTTAAAAAATATGGCTTGATAAAATTATGCAATTGACTTGGCTCCGTTTGATGACTAGCATCTGGCATCTTTATCATATCGTCCGTGACGAATGTAAACAAGATGGCGAAAGTAGTAATTCAAAATTCTTTACTGTATTTTTTAAATAGTTATTTAATGTATCCACAAATTAAATTCATTTAAAAATTTTCTTTTAACTTAATTACTTTGTGTGTGTGGGGGGGGGGGGGGGGTTTTGAATTTTTTAACTTTTTGTTTT